AGGGTTTAGGGTTTAGGGGGCGGCCTGTCAGTCAGACAAGAAAGGAACCGAAATAGCATTTTTTTGTTGAAAGGAGCACGTCGTCCCCTGGGACCTGCCCCGGGTGGGAATCTGCCAGCCTGGGCCCCTACCGTTCTGGCGAAACGCTCGGTGGGGGGTGAACCCTAAACCCTAATTGATAATAGTGGGGGTGTCTGGGACGAGACTACATGCAAGCGCGCGATGAGTGGGTGCGTCCGCACGCGCACTGTGCACACAATGCTAACCCTTAGCCCTAAACCCTAAACCCTAAACCCTAAACCCTAAACCCTAAACCCTAAACCCTAAACCCTAAACCCTAAGCCTTAAACCCTACCCATGTTGTAGCTCTCCCTCGTCCCGACTCGAGGACGTCGCCGCCCGTATGCAGGAGAGCGTGACCCCGGAGCTGTTGGGGCCTTGTCCGCGTAGGCTTGAGGGTTTAGGGTTTAGGGTTTGAGGTTTGGGGAGCATCCGGTTCAGGGAGCTCCCTAGAACTTGAGGTATCTTCGTCATTTGAGGGCATTGGGGCACTCTGCGAGCTATGGCCGGGCTTTACTATACTGTTAGTATTACTAATCTTACTACTATTACGTACCATTCCTGTTACTATTACCATTACTCTTACTATTACCACTATAGCTACTGACCCCGCCGAGGTTTGCCGAAGCACAGGAACTTGTGGCCAAAATTGAGAGCGAGCATCGGAAGGCAGCAACAGGGTTCTCCTTAAACCCTAGTCCCTCGGAAAGCCTTTCTGTGGCATATTACTTGTCGGACTTTGCAGGAAGCTGAAAAGGTCCCTCAAAAAGGTTCTTCCAGTATGGAGAGCTCAAAAGGTTCGAACATGCTCGCGCGAGCAACACAGTCGAATTTGGGAGGATGTTGTTGAGGTTCAGGGTTCCCTAAACCCTAAACCCTAAACTCTAAACCCTAAACCCTAAACCCTAAACCCTAAACCCTAAACCCTAAACCCTAAACCCTAAACCCTAAACCCTAAGGGCTTATGCTATGCCCCCAGCCGGTGATGTTCTCGGTTTCTGCATCCTAGGAGTTCCTGTTTCCTCTATGCAAGCGCGTCGAGTGGCCATGCCAGTTGTTCCAACTAAGGAGTATACCTTAAAGCATATTAGGGATCCTACTATAAGTTAGGGTATATTCCTTAATTAAGGGATATTGGAGTCTCTGAGCGGCGAGGACTTCGAAGGTTTTA